GTTGTTGTTCCAGGAAGGCGAACTTATTTTCCTTTTCTCTGAGGAGATCAGTCGGAGGCTGCATGAGCTGAGCACAATGAGGAATGAAGCATATATATTAGTTGACCAAACCACAATATCGATGGAGGTGCTTGAATGAGATCGGAGCTGGGAAGTCTTTACTTATGTTTGCATCATTCTAGAAACAGACATCGAACCATCGAAAAATCATGAGGAACAAAATAAAAAGTACACTTGTCCGAAACACGGAACAAATATTTTGAGTTTTTTCTTTTTTATGTCTGTTTTCACACGCTAGTTTGTTCTCTTTTTGGCATTTGGAATGGTAAAGCTCTAAGCAGATAGTTCAAAACATTTCCACATATAGTTCTTCCATTGATTTCCGTTTCACGCCGTATCACCAAGTGTGTCGAGCCATTGGCAGTCCTCATCATTTGACCCCTAACCAGGAAGATGTACAGGGCAAACAATGGCGAGGCGGAAGGTCAGCGATTTCATGGTTTGTCGCCAAGTAGTTGTCTGACCTCCACGCCTTCCAATTCAATCCCGTGCGAGCAAATTAGGCGCGGCGTGGCAAGTGCTCGCATGACATACGTAGAACGTGGCCAAGCCACTTCAACTGACGCCTTGCGACAAGGCGATCAAGCGGAGGGCTCATGTTTCCCAAGATGCGACACCGAACTTCATCGTTGCGAACCGGTGCCGCCACCACACACGGGCTATCCGCCGCAAACATGTGTTGTCAAAGGCCGAAAGCCTACGCATGTCATGCACACGAACCGGCCATGATTGTGGAGTGCAGGGAGGGGAGAGAGCCACACCGAAACCGTCCACTTCGGTGATGGTCCCAGTGATAGCATTCGCTCAGGCTGACTTCAAATTCAAACGATGCCACAAATGAGACTGCGTGTCGCAATCCAAGACACACGGCGGGTGCTCCAAACACTAAAATCGAATTGCGTGTGTCTTTGCCATGTCTGTTTATACGACATGATCCCTGAAGCCTAACTTTGCATAGCCGACTGTAAACTGGTAACCAGTCTAGCAACATAGCTACGACTATCTTACTTAGTGCATCCCCAACGCCAGCCAAACCTGCTGCAGATGCTTCCGCGTCCGTGGATAGACGCAGTTGATATTTGGTTCCGTGATCAGAACGGAACGTCAGTCTGATTACACTGCTGGGATCCTGCAACTTGGTTTCGGGAACGCATCAAACATAAATGGTGAGAGACTCCAGGGTAAGCACCAGGCCAGCCTGTTGACCAATCTGCATTAGCGTTCGTACGTTGAAGCAGGCCAATTGGAACATCGATTGAGGTTGAAGTATGTCTTTTGCTTGAGTATTTCGGGTGTCGGTACAACCGGGATCGGAGGCAGAATCAACGGAGGCAGCAGTAGCAGAAATGTGAAAGGAAGGTAAATACATGGTTTTTCTCAGCCGGCATGACACTACCCGGTTGGCCAGACCGAGGTAAGTTGACTTAGGGGACTCTGCTTCGTGCCTTTGGCTCAAAAGCCTACCGGTAAGGCACGTGGCGAAGTCAGGAGAACGCATCCACTGGGAGCCGGTGATCGACTGCACGGTTCATACGACTTTTCTTCGGCGATCTGCCAAACTGTGGCTCAGTCCACCCTGAGATTCAGACTCTATCTTAGTAATTAGAATTCTTCGTTGAAGCAAAGCAAGGGATGGTGACTTTCTTTGGTGACGAGTCACATCCACCACGTTACAGTGTTGTTAAACAGACTTCTGTGGCTTTTTATAGGTAGAACGCTTGCCAGGCAAAAACCCGCCACGTCCTGGACACTGCAACCGAATTTTCAGCTGGAAAGGATAAACCAGATCCAACCAGTTGACACCACGAGAAGGTAGTTCGGCAAGCCAGCCAAGTCTTTAATTGCCTGGATCTAATCAGGAAGGAATTCGATACCAAACGATGAAACAAGGTGACTTAGGAATTCTGCCGTTAACTTGCCGAGTTCACACTTAGTCGGGTTGACTGTGACAGCGTGTTGAGTCAAGCGCTGAAAGAGAGAACGGAGATGGTCGAGGTGCCCTTCTTCCGATGAACTGGTCACTGGAATGTCATTGAGGTAGGGATAGACGATGACTACGCCACGAGTAACTTCGTGAATGAAGCGCTGGAACGTTGGTGCGATGTTGCACATCCGAAAGGCATTCTTAATAATCTAAACAAGCCGAAAGGTGTGATAATGGTCGTTTAGGGAATGTCATTTTCTTCTACAGGTATCTGGCTATAGACGCGAACCAGATCGCTCTTACTGAAGGTCGTCTTACCTTTGAAGCATGCAGTGAGTTCCTGCATGTGTCTGATGGGGTACCTATCTGGGAAGGTTAGCCGACTGAGTGCGTGGTAATCACCGCAAGGGCGCCATTTTCCAGATTTCTTAGGAACCATCTGCAGGAGTGAGGACCAAGGGCTGTTGGAAGGACGGATTATCCAGAGTTCAAGCATGTACTTAAACTCCGCCCTAGCTACCCTAGCTTTCTCGGGTGGTATTCGCCGCGGACGGCATGAGACGGCGAGACATTTGTCTATTTTGATGCGTGACTTGGCAAGCCACGGACGGAGCCGTGTACATTGGCTGAATGAGCTTAGAGTACTGGGAGAAGGTCTTAGTGTAGTCTGGCGAAGTCTAGGGAAAGGCGTAGATCGGTAGTATAGATGTAATCTCGGGGTCGATGCCACGTATACTGAGTTTCGTAGCAGTTTCGACTATCACCTGGCGTTTTGCATCGACCAAGTGGTTGAAACGCCTGAGCAAGTCAATGCCGATAATTTCGAAGGGAACCGAAGCAACGGTGAATGCGCAGTGAAACCTGCGTCGAAGACCAGCGTAAGCGACTGATGACCGTAGGTGGCTATTGGCATGCCATTGGCAGTACTTAGCTTGTCCATAAAGAAGCGGTTGGCTCACCTGGAATAGGGGGATGACGCTGACTTCCACCCCAGTATCAACTAGGAACTGGGTTTCGGAATGATGATCCATAATGTAGATGAGACGACTTCGAGCTTTGTCGACACCGTTAGTCACCATTACGGGCCGACCTGAAAGTTTCCCTGCTTCACGGCGGAGAAACTGCATGGTTGCTCGCAATTACGGGCTTTGTTACCAAAATGCAAGTGGTAAAAGCAAGCTCCTGTTACGTTTCGTGCGAGGGGAGAATGAGTTACAGCAGCTTCCCTGCTTACGGTCTGGGGCGAGTTTCTCGAGTTGGCGCTGTAGAGACACTATTTGCCATGATAAAGCGTCCATTGTTGACAGCTCACTAGTCGCGGGTGTCGCAGGGGCTGCGACCGTGCCAAGTCGATGCATTCGTTGGCTGAGGTCGCTCAATAACACGGTCTGCTAGTTATGCAACTGCTGCGAGTGGCAGAACGCTTCCCACGGCAAGGATGGCCTGTGTGTTTTCCCGGGGGATGTTGCATCCACATTTTGCGGAGAATCCCTGCGTACATGCGGGATGTGCCTAGAAGCTGTTGTATTTGACGCAACAAAGTTGAAGACATCCTGTTTCCTAGTTTCAGACCCCTAAACAGTTGCGACAGTCGTACATTGTCAGAGGACGTGCTACGCTGAGCGATTGCCTGCTTTAGAGTCTCATATTATGCATCAGTAGAGGAGCAAGATATGATGTCTCACACATGGGAGGATACGTTTTTCGGTAGGCCACATAAGTTGATGATATTTAGCACAATCGAAAGAAATTCTACAATTGTAAAACATGAATTTTAAATGTGCAAACCATGATAACGGGTCATTCTCCCAAAAAGGTGGGGAGGCTGGCTCTTCGGCACTAACCACGTACGTGGATGGATTATCCTCTGAGCCACTAGTCGTGGGAAATTAATAAGTATGTAAGGCAAGTGCGAAAACTAAATGATAGCGAGTAATGAATCTAAATGTTACTGGGGCGAGTTCAGCAGAATGAAAATTCGATATGGCGGGTGGCATGTTCTGCACCGCGGTCGCCAATTGTTTATTGGTGCCTGGGATAGCAGTCGGTAACACTGACACGTAAGATAAGTGTCAACTACGGGACAGTAAAGAAGTTGAAGTCAGCTTGACCCAACGTATATTTTACAGGCCACAAGAAAAGGAAGCAAATCAGCAAGGACAATTATAGGTATATCGCAGGACTAATTAAACAATTTATGAAAGTAGATGTACAGTCAGTAAAACAAATGGACATTTGAAAGGTTCAAACAACAATAAAATCCAATGTTAAATACTGGACTAGTACGTTTTCGGGTACACTACAACCCCTTAACAAAGTGAATGACACTTAATAGAAAAAGCATGTCGTTGCAATATAAAATGTTTCACACTGTAATAGCGTAAGCTTAATACCTCGGAATATTTAAGAGTATGAGGATATTTTCGAACATGTTGCCAAAAATTTAGTTATTCTCAAGCCGTATATCACTGTATCATTTGCTGCTGGCGCCCTTAAAAAAGGCGACTGGTTGCAGCTCATGGATGCGATGAATATCAAACTTCTTAACTGATTATATGTGTCAGTGTGCTGTAGACTTTAACTTAACACAACTGGAAGAGGTTTGGTACTTTCAACGAATGAATAATTAAAGCACACTAAGCTTTTTTGATTTTCCAGCTTGTTCACTATTTAGTATCATAGAAAAAGGGAAAATCATGTTTCCAAGACACAATTGAACTGCCCCAAGTGATTTCAAAAGAATGGGTATTAGTATGTTATGTAATATTGCTGCCATATAGATTATAAATAATTCAGTGCCTTGAATCACACTTTAGAAAGTGTCCTTCAAAAAGAGTGCCAACAGAAAATGGGTTAACGCTTTTCTGATTGTATTGCTTGCTTGATCTCCAACCATTGCCAACATACTTTGCACAATCGTACCAAGTTAGTCCCAAAAATTCAACGTCGAATATAACGCAGCTCTCCCTTGCATGGGCCTTATCATCTTGTCGTTCCCTCTCATTTCTGTCCAAAGGTAATGAAGCGAAATACGGACTCTCGTACAAAAACCTACCTTACAGCATTGGAAAAGTTAGCAAGCCGTTGGTATCACTTGAAACCAGGTCGCGAATTGCTAGAAAATGGGGATTACGAAGCGTGTAAGGCTGCTATCTCAATGATCCGCGAGCGCCAAAACGAATTTGCTGAGCTTGAAACCACGCGCCAGGGATTGCTGTAAGTTTGAGCTCTATTGTTGTGTAGTACCACCGGTTGAGCGATAAATGCCATTTTAACTATCATAGTTTGTCATGCGACAACGGATTGGAATACCGTACTAGCTGAAATGGACACCGAACCAACTATGGGTTTACTTCGAGTGAGAGGACTGGTCTGTTAGTACCAAGATAGCAATGGGTCATTCTTCCATTATACACCTTTGCTAGAGGTGGAAAACACCTCAGCGATTGTACCGCAGTACAAAAGAAAACAAAGGACATTCAACAGAGGCACCCCGGCTGAGTCACCAGTAAGGGATGGACATCGTTCCGGAGAGCAAACAGCCGACTTTTGTGCAGCAAAATGTCATATTATGTCTAATAATTATAATCGTGGTTGGAGGAGGAGTAAACGAGAAGGTGAGAGACAAAGAAACTCACAACACAAACGCCATTGTGGTTGGCTGCTAGCCATGTCAACCAGTGTGTCCAGGCCAACGTGTTCATCGTCCTTCGGTCCCCAACAAAGAAGTCAAGATGCTGCAAAAAAGAGGCCAACTTCGAAGTGCGGGCCTTCATTCCTCTTAACCAAGTCATCGCTTAGCCACTCCTCCTCTGCTTCCATCCGCACCCCCGGCGCGCAAACAACGCACATCACGGGATTCCGTGGACTGGCATGCACATGTGGCCCAGCCATCGGCAACATGTGGTCTAGCCATCGTGGTTCACGACTTTTGCGAGTAGTGCGTCTTAATGCACACGAGATTGTTGTAATATGCGTTTTACGTGTAAATCATCACTTCGTACTCACCCGATCTCAAGTACAGTACACCCTCCAAAGTTGACCACCTCTATATGTTGGCCAACACTCTAGGTTGACCACTTTTTCATAGCTTGAACGGTCACTGTGTCAACTATGGAACCAGACCTCTGTATGCTAACCACCACTGTAAGTTGTATTTTGACCGCTTGGACTATGACAGTGAGTACTAATTCAACCATCTAAGGGCCTACCATTCAATGGTTCCCGAATGGCTCTTTTGTTCCGATAACACGGTCTGCATCGGGACTGCAATGTGTGAACTTCTGACCCAAATCAGTGAACTTTGCGTTTGGGGATACACCATGTTCTCTGTGTGCATATGTATGTGCCTGTTTGTCCCGGTCGACAGTATTTCCGCCCACGCGCCCACGGAATGACCTAGAACGATTTGTGTTCAACCTCCCTCGCCTGTCCACATATATAGGCAAGCCTACGTTTATCCTTAAGACCAAGTGTCCACTAATTGCAAAGGCCACAATCAGGAATTTTAGTGACTGTCAAACGGAGGTGTCTGTGCGCGCGTGTGCTCGTGCTGGACCATCTGGAGTTTTCTTCCTCATTTCGTGGAACAACTAATACCAATGGTCTGCACTCGACGAGATCTGTCAAGAGCACTGGAAATTTTTGAAGAATTATTGCAAGAAAGTGAAAATGGTGAAAAGCCATCAGCCATAGCTTGCTTAATTTTCTCTTTTCTCTATACTTTATTAGCGACTTAGGTTTTTCTGTAAGATATTTAGGCTCCTTTATTCCTTCATTTTTCCCCTACCGCTCTCTTCTTGATTCCCTCAATTAGAGGAACACAGATCCATACAGATCCACAGATCCACATAGATCCACACTTTTTCTACCACCAAGTCCTTCTGTCGAATGGCTGTTATGCTTTGTGTACTCCTACTGTATACTGAAGCTTGATTACCCAGTCACATCGCATGACCACGTTACCATGTCAACCGAGCCACAGTAACGGAAGCTAGCATCTTTGAAATTCTGCTGTCTCGTTTGGACTCTTTTTATGTTGTATCTTGCGCTCGCTAATTCAGTGCGTACCTTATCCTCCTATTCAGAGTAGTACAATCATTATAGATATTTTTTTAAAATTTTACTGCTTAGTACTCCCATGCTTGGCCTTAGACTACACCTACTCCTGCACACATAGACATCACCTAGGCATCTCCGCTCCCCCAGCGCACACAATTTTCCAACCCCCTGTGTTCATTCGAACCATATCACCACTCAACAGGGATTACAACCAGCGTCCCTCACAGATAATGTGTCACCTGGTTTAACCGCTCAATTTCCCAGACGATATTCACGCCTGACCCTAGATAACCCCTCATATTTCCCTATACCACTCATTCTCTCACATCTGGACAGGGTGACGTTCGCAATTTTGATCCCCCTGGTTATTATCTGGTTATTATTATTATCTGGTTATTACCTGTGACACGACTTGAGTTTCACCCTGGCCGCGGAACACCGACTCCATCCCGGACATAATCTTTGACAGACGGCTTTGCTAGGTCCGAGTGGCAGTTTGGGGCAGGTTTCACACCTGCCCCAAACTGCCACTCGGACCTAGCAAAGCCGTCTTCCCACCAGTTCCGCTTTGTCTAACTAGCCAGGGCTATTCTGGGACATGATCTCCTTACACGCACAATTGCTCCACCAAATTCCCTCACGCCTTTGACAATCATTAAGCATTCTTCTTAATACTAACGGATCAGGCTCGCTCGCCCCTCTCCCCTTGCACAATAAAACGGACTTGTCGTGACTCAAGTTTATCCTCAAATTTCGATTTCCCCGTACCCTCAATTTTTACCGCTATTGCCTAGACCTATATACTCTATATACGTTGGTTTGCCAGCGTCTAATAGTACCGACTCATGTCTGAGCTTGCCGCCCTTTCCCGCACACTAGTCATACTTGTTAAGAATTTTCTATCAGCAGGCTATCCACGTGTACACCTAGTATGTTACTACAATAACCCTTTGTTACAACCCCCTTATATGCCCTCGTTATTGTTAATGGTGATCTTCACAACACTGCCACGATGATTCCCGTGAAACGTTTCTTCCATCTACACCATTAAGACACCACTGCCTAACTTCCGCATACTCTACTATCTCGTTACTAGGTATCATCTGAACTGCTATAATTTTGCTACCTTTTGGTCATGTAAAGACGACTGACGTCAGTTGCTGCATTAACTCTTCTCCATAGTTTGTGACTCTCTAACAAATATTTTGTGCAAGTTTTACTGTCAAACCTGTTGCATTTACTTCCTGTTTCCGAAATACTACTTTTTCTCTACCCTTTCCCCCAACACATTAAATTTATTTAACTAATAATTTTTCATCAGTCGGACTGAGCTCATCCGTTACCCTCCTCGCCGAACAAGCAATGGACCATTATCTCGCAACTACATCGCCGCCTCGATTACACCCTACACCAGAAAACCGCCCGGGGTCCTTTACCGGCCAAACTTGCAACGCCCGCTTTTCGACTGCTGCTAGTCTTACTCAAAATAGTCGTTTCCACGATACAAGTCTTCGAGATGAGCACCCATCCATTTGTTTACTTTGTGACCGTCGTTTTTCGTCGGCACGCGGTTTTATACATCACTACTGCCATCTATGTACTTCGGACTACAAAGTTATGAAGACTTCAAGGATAACACCCACGTCAACCCACTGATCTACCGATGAAGACTATCTACTTCTACGACAAGCCACCGAGCTGAGCTCCTCCACGGCATTTCGGTATCAACTTCACTCAAAATTACAAACCTACTTGCCCACTCGTACGACCACAGCGATCAGGAAGAGCCTCAAACAACTGAAATGGAAGCACCCAAAAGGTGACTGTTACCATCCTGGATGCGAAATTACGCCCACTACTGAGATCCAGCCCAATGCCATCCACTTAGTGGTAAATCAACCGACATCTGAATCATTGCTATTTAATACTTCTTACGGAGGGTTGTCCTACTCGGGCAGTAACGACCAAACGGGACAATCAGCCTACTCAATGTGCCCAGTAAACTGCAGTCGCCCTGCACCCTAAACATTTACAGAGGCTAGACCGACAGATGACCGTCCAAATAGCAATGCCTCTGCTACAAGAACTATTACATGGGCTAATCCTGTCGACGATCCACCGAGAGTCGAGCAACCGCTTCCGAAAGATAGCTCCCTACATGGTTGGCGGCATCCGGTTTCGGATTTGCCTGTCACTGTGGCAAGCCACAGGACGCCTGCGCCTACAGAGGGACCATGGATGGCTTGCGCTGCACCACCCACAGCTCCAACCACACCCCCATATCCAGCGTAAACCCGAAGGAATAAGACCGGGAGGCATGCGGATGGGAGCCACGTTTCATCAACGGAGCCGGCCCACACTCCTTCACAGGCAAACACAAGCACACTGTATTTGGGAATCAAGCGCACACAAGGCGGTGGCTGGACCGTAGTCCGCTCCACACTGAGTGCATAGAACCACTCTTCGAGCCTAACACGACCACAAGGACCGTGCACCCTGTCCCCTCCAGCAACGACCAACTGTCTCCTGGAGCCAGTATGAACGAGGTAGTGGGTAATAGACAGCTAGGAACCTTGTCAACATGCACATCAAGCGCAGCCACACCGGGGATATCAAACAACAGCCAATCAATTGAGAGGGAGAGAGATACAAAGAAAATAACTCGCGTAATGCAAAAGAAAACGGTGACATGAACCCTAAGTTAAAGAGCATATGAAATAAGTTGTTTACAAACGAATCCTAGATAAGTTCACGAGGTCAGAAAGTATACTTTATGGAAATGCCACGAACCCAAAAATGCTATGGAAATCGACTACAATTGGCTTAAGCGAGGTGTGCAAGTTAATGGAATAGAGTACAGGTAGACATATATATGAGAAAGAAAAGCATTAAGGCAAAATTGAAAACCCACCACCTGAAATAAAGAGGCTTAGCATGCAAGCACGCGGTTAGTAAATCGAATGCAGCGTACCTACAAACACTGTGTCGGTTCTGAATACTTCTCTGCAAGACCGGTCGTCGCTTCATTAGTAGTCCCGAGTGGCCTCGCTCATGGCCCACTAGACATTTATATGAGAAATAAAGGCATTAGGACAAAACTGAAAACCCATCACCTGAAATAAAGAGACTTAGCATGAAAGCACGCGGTTAGTAAA